TTGTCTCCTGCATAAATGAGTCTCCCTTCCCTCACCACACCCCATCATCCTTCCATCTCGTACCTGGAAAGCAGAGAGGAGGACACCCACCTTGCTCCTTTCCGGGAACTGAGAGGAATACTGAGCGGAGCTGCTCCCCTGTTACATGGTTGTTCCTTCCTAGCTTCAGCTGTCATGCTGGAAGGGTGTACTCCTTGTGAGGAAAGAAGGCGCGTGTCCAATGATGCCGACCCTAAACTGTCACAAATCATGAATCAGTCCTCCAGAATCTTGAGGGCGGGTCTTTAGAATTTGCCTCATGGTATTGGAGCCTTAAAGGGGCTTTTCTCTATGGGTACAGAAAACTGATGAAAACTGGAAGCTGAGATTGGCAGCTCATACCCTGGGGCTTTAAAACCCCCCACAAATGTTGCAAGTCTGGCAACCAAAAGAGTCAGCAACATTGGGTGTCCCATTGCAATGATCATGAGAGCCAGTCTAATGACATCGGGAGATAGACCAGAGTATGCACATGACACCCCTACCCCATCAAAGCAAGAGCATATAATTTCATGTCGACAAATGCTCCCTTTCCCTCCGCTATCTGAATGGGGATAGCGCTGGGCAGGACACACGTTGCAAGAAGACTGTGATGAAAGAGCAGTGATAAGCCATGTGTGTGGCATTGAGTAACCAGAATGCCACAGAGACCAATGTTTGGGCCAACTTTATTCTTTGTCTTTCAGCAGCCCCTTGCAGCTGAGCTGAGGGCCCCCTTGTGCTGAGGGCTGCAAACCCATACAGTGAAGGACAGACCTTGCCCAAAAGAGTTTCTGATTAGAACAGCTCAGGAATTTCATAAAAAAAGCCACTTTCCATCAAAAGCCCTTCTTCGACCGGCCCCAGTTGCAGGCTGGGGGCAGAGCAAAGCTTCACAGTTGGGAAGTGACTTGCCTAGGTCAGCACAGCTAGGAAGAGAGCCCAGGTTTGCTGACTTCCTGTCTCATGAATCACACCCTCGCTACTGGCCCACACCGCCTGTGTTTGATGCTTGCTGTTCATGCAGTGACCTAGAGGAGTGGAGTGTAATCCAGTGTGGCAGGCAGCTCCTAGGCTAATCCCCTTCTCTGTGATGGTCTAATTTGGGGGACAGGGATGGGGGGAATCTAGCATCTCTAAGCGTCTCTAAAAAGCGATCTGCTTTTTCAACAGATAGCATCCACACTGAATGGACGCTCTCTCGCATGTAATCTGTGATTACTATGGACGGAATGGCCAGCAGGGCACCTGTGCTTTTTCCTCTTTCCTCTTCTTCCGAAAGAACTCCCTCTTCCCCATCCACACGTGCCTTTTTCTGAAAGAGCTCTTTCGGAAAAAGTCTTCTTCCTTGTAGAAAGAGGTTTATCGATTTCGGAAAAACCCCTCAGTTCTTTCGATTTTTTTTCGTAAGAATGCGATTGCAGTGTGGATGTAATTGAAGTTTTTACAGAAAAACAGACGTTTTTCCAAAAAAACTCTGTAGTGTAGACATAGCAGCTATATCTAAACTACACCCCTCTGGCAGCAGGGGGATGTAAATTAGACGTATCGAAAGTGCAAATGAAGCCGGGATTTAAATATCCCATGATTCATTTGCATAATGGCAGCCACTGCTTTTTTTTTAAATGGGGCTTTTTTGGGAAAAAACAGCAGTTTAGACGGGGCATTTTCGACAGAAGTGCCCCATTTCGAAAGATCCTGTACTCCTCATTTTGGAGTACAGGATCTTTCGAAACGGGGCATTTCTGTCAAAAATGTCCCATCTAAACTGCCAGGTTTTTTTCGAAAAGCCCCATTTTGAAAAAAAGCGACGGCTGCCATTATGCAAATGAAGCGTGGGATATTTAAATCCCGGCTTCATTTGCACTTTTGATACGCCTGATTTACATCCCTCTGCCAACAGAGGGGAACAAAATACAGGACTATGTAGAATAGTGATTGAAATGTAGCCGTGTTAGTCTGGGGTAGTTGAAGCAAAATGCAGGACAATGTAGCACTTTAAAGACTAACAAGATGGTTTATTAGATGATGAGCTTTCGTGGGCCAGACCCACTTCCTCAGATCAAATAGTGGAAGAAAGTAGTCACAACCATATATACCAAAGGATACAATTAAAAAAAAGAACAAATATGAAAAGGACAAATCACATTGCAGAACAGAAGGAGGAGGCGGGGGGGTGGGAAGGGGGAGGAAGGAAGGTAAGTGTCTGTGAATTGATGATATTAGAGGTAGGGAGAGTGGGATGTTTGTGAGTTAATGGTATTACAGGTGATAATTGGGGAAACTGTCTTGATAATGGGTGAGAAAGTTCAAAGACTTGTTAAGTCCCTGGTGGTAAGTGTCGAATTTTAACATGAATGACAGTTCAGAGGATTCCCTTTCAAGTGCAGATGTAAAAGGTCTTTGCCTGACTGGCTTCTGGACTTCCTTGCACTGCACAGATGAGCCCGTGGAGGGTGCCAGAGGGCAGCATTTCCCTCCGTACCTGCCCTTTCCTACAGGAGGAAGATTTGGCTGGTTGCACTGGGGGTTATTGGTGGTACTGCCTAGATATCACCAATCCTCACAGGAGGCTCAATCCTCTCCTCTCCTGCCACTGCTAGACTGTGGCTTCCTCTGAGTCTCTCTCTTCCTTTGCTCCACAGGAGCCTGGACCGCCTAGACTCCGTCGAGATCCTCTTACCTCCCAAGTTCCCAAGCTGGGAGGAAGAATACAACCAGCTCCCTGACAACATCAATGAGTCCAGCTGCATCAGCCAGGTGAGCGTGAGCAGCGTCAGTTCCATGCAGAGCCGGCCACAGCAGGGCAGGCAAGATGCAGGTAGGGCCTTCCCAGAGATAGAGGAAGGGGACTGGTAAGACTAGGCAGAAGGAGATGTGGGGGTGGGTTGAATTTTTCCTCACCCCCACAAAGTGAAGCCCATGTGAAGCTACTCTATTGCAGCATTGCCAGCACACCCGAAGTCAGCCATGTAATCCCTGCTGTTAGTCCAGCAAACAGCTCTGCTAATGACTTTCATCCTGACTGGTAACATTTCCCCTGTGAAAATGTTATCTGTATCTTTGGGAGGTAGCTTTTGGATTCTAGCCCAGCTGGGGAGGGTTACCAAACATCCTCCAGGAACCAAATCAGTGGCAGGTAAATTACTGCAAATCTCTGGAGCGCTTACCACTCCTGGGAAGTACTATTGGCTGGGGGAACTGCAGAGACTGGTTCAGACTAGGTTCAAGAGACCCAGGAGACAAGGAAAAAGCTTGTGATGGGAAAAGGCCAGCCTGAACTGCGGGGTGGGAGGCTCTCTGTGATCCCTAAACTAACCTGAGATTGTAACCAAGAGGGCAAACCTCTGCTGGGCGGGTTTGAGAGCCTGGGACAGTGCTGGGGTCTCTATGGGAAAAATAGGTAACCCCTGGTAAGCACAGCCTGCATGTCACCTGTCTGTTGGTTTATTCTCCACTTTCTCTGTGATGCTTGTGTCCTAAAATAAATGTGCTGCGCTTTGTGAGAGCTGGGACCCACTGTCATCATTCCTGGGGGAGAGTGAGCAGCACCCCCTGGACTCAGGTTAGACCAAGCACAGAGAATTGCAGGGGCATTGCAAGCCTAAAGCCTGAAGGGAGAGGGCCGTGGGTCACTGCCCATAGAGAGGTGATGGCTGGAGATCTAATGACCTTGAACAGACCTCAGAACCCTGGAGCTGGTGCAAATTTGTGTGCAATCCAGGTCTAATCTGGTGCAACCCTGTCCACATGGAGAGTTAAGGTCAGTAACTATGTTGTTCAGGGGGGTGGATTTTTCACTCTCCTGAGCAATGTAGCTATTGCCAAGTAAGTCTATCGGGTAGATCTGGACTGAGTCTGTTTCAGGCCCTTGCCTCATTATCTCAGCCCGTAGAAAGAAAATTCGCCCTTCCCCTAAATCCCTTGCTGGAGATTAGACAGGCAGGTAGCCCTAAAGCCTTCTCAGGCTGTTTCACCCAATCACACCAAGCCTCCATCAATATCAACAGACCATATTAATGCTATGCGTGTGTGCACACAGATACACACACACCCCATGCTGCTCCTGAGCCGGCCCTCCCTACACACTGCCAAGTTTGCCATAGCCCGTGCTAGGTGAAGGCAGCCCTGTGTGGTGGTTTGAGTGGGGCTGGACATCAGGAAATCAGAGTTCTGTTCCCATCCACTAGAGGGCGATGGAGAGCAAGACAGGCCAACTGGAACCTTCCAGTCCAGATGTTTGGATTCTGGGTTGTAGCTCCTTTACCTCTCAGTTTCTCCATCTGTAAAATGGGGATAGATCTTTGTAAAGTACTCTGAGATCCTCAAGAGAAGATGCTAAACAGATGCCAAATAATATCCACCAGGAAGTATTTATTACATTTAACACGCTGGATATTTTACTATCCAGAGACATAGCTAGAGACCAGCATACTCGTTTCACACATGACCTAGTCACTGGGGGTGTCTGAATTGCAGGCTGGGCAGACATACAACACATCAGTGTTACTGCTGATTGAGTTTGTGCCTTAAACAGAGAAGTGCCAGCATGGTGAGGTGAGGGGCGGGTAGGTGGGAGAGGCCAGCCAGCCTGACTTGGACAGGGCTGCACTTGTGGCAGCTACTTTCTCCTGTGACTTATGCTGCGGCAGCTATATTGCTATTTTTATTGGCCTAACTTAATCAGAACTAGCCAGGATATATCTGTTCAGTATCAATGATTTTGATAATGGCACTGAGAGAACACGCCTAAAGATTGCAGCCAATATCAAGCTGAGTCGGGTAGCAAAGGCTTTGGAAGAAAATTCAAAATTATCTGGACAACTGGACAAATACTCTGAAATAAATGGAATGAAAAGGACAAATGCAAAGCACTGCACTTAGGAAGAACAACCAATTGCACACACAGAAAATCAGAAATGACTGCCTAGGATGAACTACTGCAGAAAGGGATCTGAGGGTCATAGCGAAGTTCAAGCTAAATATAAGTCAGCAATGTAACACTGTTGCAAAAAAATACTCATCATTCTGGGGTGTTTTAGCAGGAGTATTGTAAGCAAGACACAAAAATTAATTCTTAAGCTCTACTTCATGCTGATACCTGGAGTATTGTACCCAATTCTGGATGCCACATTTCAGGAAAGATGTGGACAAACTGGAGAAAGTCCAGAGAAGAGCAACAAAAATTATTAAAGGTTTAGAAAACAGGACCTAGGAGGGAAGATTGAAAAATGAATTTGTTTTTAGTCTAGAGGAGAAAAGCCCGGGAAAAGGAATTCATATACATCTAGGCTGCTTTTGCGGAAAAACTTGCCAGCTGTCTACACTGGCCTCTTTGAATTTGTGCAAGAACACTGACGATCTAATGTAAGATTGTCAGTGTTCTTCCGCAAATACAATGACTCTCCCGTTCGGGAAAAAGCCCTCTTGCGCTAATACTTTTGCGTAAGAGGGCCAGTGTAGACAGCTGAGAACCGTTTTGCACAAAAAAGCCCCGATGGCGAAAATGACGATCGGGGCTTTCTTGCGCAAAACCGTGTCTAGATTGGCACGGACACTTTTCCGCAAAAAGTGCTTTTGTGCAAAAGCGTCCGTGCCAGTCTAGACGCTCTTTTCCACAAATGCTTTTAACGGAAAAACTTTTCCGTTAAAAGCATTTGCAGAAAATCATGCCAGTCTAGACATAGCCCTACGGTTATGGTGAGGAGGGAGAAAAAACATGTTCTCGTTAACTTCTGAGGATCAGAAGCAAGGAGCAAGAAATGTTTAGATTGGACAGTAGAAAAAACTTCAGTTAAGCTCCAGAAGAAATTGCCAAGGGAGGCTATGGAATCTCATTCATTGGAGGTTTTTAAGAACAGGTTAAACAGATATATGTCAGAATGGTCTAGCAATTACATAGTCCTGCCTTGAGTGCAGGGGACTGGACTATATGTCAGAATGGTCTAGCTATTACATAGTCCGGCCTTGAGTGCAGGGGACTGGACTAGATGATTTCTCAAGGTCCCATCCGGTCCTACAATTCTATGGTTCCAAGTTGGAGATTGCACCTTCTAGCTCCAGTGTAGCCAGACCCTGTGTCTGAGCCCAGATCTGTACTGGGAACAGCTGGGTGCATTATTCCCTCTGAGCCCTGGGCAGAAGGAATCCTTAGCTTGTACTTAACCCTGACTAAGGTTACTACTTAAAATTCCATCCAGCTCCCAATTAAATCTGTCCCTAGTCGTCACTAGGAGTTGATCCAGACACCAAGTATGAATGATCTCTTGATCATTGCTGTGGGATCCCAGTATACAACATTTACTTCCATTTTAATAACTTTATTAACATTACAAAGGTCACCAGTGTTACCCAGGGGAATGCACCAAGTGTCTGGATCAAACTCAGCCCTGGTGTAACTATGCTTCACTGGAGTTCCTAACAGCTGACCTTGGCCCTCTGAACTTGAGATGTGTTTTGCAGCACTATTGGGGTTCTATAAAGCATTGAAACTCCCCCGCCCCCATCTCCAAGTCACAGCCAGTACTGATGCTAATCCAGGATTTATGCCAGCGTGTCCATCTCATGTGTCTGTCCATGTGTGATTAGGTGGCAGATTGTGAGGCTGTTTGTGATGTCACCCTTTGTCCTCCCAACGTTGGGCACTGTTTTTCTTCCTCGCTTTGGCCATTACTAAGAGCTTCCCAGAGTATCTTTCATACTTTGTCCAGGGAAGCAGACTACAGTTACTCTCTCTTTCAGTGTCCCTTGTGTCATGTCAATCTGCAAGGTTGCCTTATAGCCAAGAGATAAGCCCACGTCACCACATTTTATACAGATTTGGATCTATATCCAAACTTCCCTAAAGTCTGGGGCTCTTCAGATTTTGATTTCTTGTCCAGCCATTTATAGCTCTAGGTACCAACAGCCAAGTTCCAATCTGAAACTGATCCAAGCCTGAATCTTTCCAAATTTTGAAGATCTGCATTTTTTAGCTGACCATGTCTAAGTAATGGACCAAACCAAAACCCCGGATCTACCCCCTTAACTTTGGGGAGATTCTGAATCCAGAGTCCTGGGCCCATGTAAGGTATCAACTAGAGACCATATCCTGGGCTGACTCTCAGAACCTGTGATGATGGGCATTGCATACAACTAGATGAGACTAGAGGAGCCAGCGTTTTCTGTCTCTGCCGCACTCACTCCAGCAGGCAGTGTGTTGTTTTTTTAAGGTAAAGCTAATACTGTTTGGCTTTGAATAGGACTGGTTGTGTCACAGCCCTGATGGTGAGATATGAGGGTTACTGCAGCATGGCCCTTGCTTGCACTCCCACTGGATCAATGGTGGCAGCACAGGCATAGACGAGGCTCAGGTGGTTTTACCACCCTGTTGTCTAGCCGTTCGATGGTGTGCTGATTAAAATAGCCTCTCTCCGTCTACGCCAGTGCTCCTGCACTCACTCCACCTATGGACCGGAGCTGCTCCAGAACAAAGGCGGGAGGTGGGCTGTGAATGCTTGGGGCAGAAGCCGCTTGGTGAGAACAGTCTCCCGAGCCAGGTGCTGGTTTGTCTCTGGCAGGGCTTTGGGATGGAGGGAGAATAAGATGCTTTGGCTGAGCTGATGCCAGAAGCTGAGCCTTCACGGGAGTGTTGCAATCACTCCACCTATGGACCGGAGCTGCTCCAGAACAAAGGCGGGAGGTGGGCTGTGAATGCTTGGGGCAGAAGCCGCTTGGTGAGAACAGTCTCCCGAGCCAGGTGCTGGTTTGTCTCTGGCAGGGCTTTGGGATGGAGGGAGAATAAGATGCTTTGGCTGAGCTGATGCCAGAAGCTGAGCCTTCACGGGAGTGTTGCAATCTTCCTCTCCATGCAGGGCGTCCACTGGGGTTTTGTCCCGTTCGCCGCAGTCAGTGGCAGTTGTTGGGTCTTCAGCATCTGTACCCGTGTTTTATAGACTAGCCGTGTCCAGCAGCATCTCTGTGGCCTGGGAGAGTCTGTGGCGTTTTGTCGTCTTGCATTGGGCAGCCATCTTAGCAGCCAGCCGTGAACAGGCAGCTTCTGCTATTCTGACGCTTCCAGGGATGTTCCGCTAGATGGCAGCAGAGAGGGAAGCAGCTGCAGCTCTGAGGGGAACATCTGTTTGTCCCCCACTGTCTGTGACTGTGTCTAACAGAGCCCCGGGCCTTGTGCTTTAACCTTCTCCAACTCTTTCTTCCAGATATTTGGACAGTCCTCATTTATCCCACAGATATTTACACACGGAGAGCAGGTACCGTCCCTCGGACATTTTCCTGTGGCCCCTTGGGGATGTTTTCCTGTTGCCTTCTATGGATGTCTCCCCCTTGACCAGAGTACTGAAAGCCATGTGTCTGAGGTGCAGCACCCTGAGAAACCGTATCGGGGTGTGGCCTGTAGGGAGAGGCCGAGAAATAGTGGGAGGGGAGAGACGAAATAAGTGTCCCACAGAAGCCTCTGGTGTCAGGACAGGGAGTGAATTCTTTCCTACATTGAAGCCACTAATCATGCTTCTTCCGCGAAAGTCTCCGTGTTTCTTGGTCGTTGCCCATTAGCCAGTCATTTGACATGATAATAACGTCAGAACACGCACAGGACATAAACTGCCTGGTGCTTGCATGGTCCCCCTGTCCTGGGTTTGGCTGAGCCACAATGATCAGCATTCAGAACGCCAGCCTGGATCCTCCCAGCCCGGCTCGCTTTGGAGCTAAGACCCTCGGGTGGGAGTGAAGCAGCCAGGAGAGCACCCCAGGGAGCTGGCGTGTGCACTTCAGAGAGCGTGCCCCTTGCACGCGAAAGATGAGAGGAGTGTGTGTGAGGGAGGGAACTGGGGTGTCTGAGTCTGAGAGCACCCAGAGCCTCTTCTCCCACTCAGCCTTTCTGCTCCAGCACCCACTCAGGTCAGTGGGGCACCAAGCAGCGTGGAAAAGACCCTTGGAGATGAGGGAAGGGGGCACTTTGTATAACTCCCCCCCGTCCCCATCCCAGGGAACACTGGTAAAAGGGTGAGACAGACTAGACAGTTGGGCGTGGAGGTAAATTACAGAGGCGAGGCCAGGAGAGAGAGCATTATTATTCTTCCAGTTCGACCAGAATACCCAGTTGACTGATCACTTAGCCATAGTTATTGCTGTGTTTATGAATTTCAGCTCTTAGCTCATCAGGACCTGTCCTTACATAACCCTGACACAATTCTCTGCTTCAAGAGCCAGATAATGCCAGCCTAGGATGGGCCCCGGGCATACAGAAAAGCAGGGGCCTCTCAGACGGTGGTGGGTGGTGAAATGGGAAGCAGAGACTGCAGCAGCAATCAGAGAGGTTGCACAGTGTGGTCTGTGGGTCTCACCATCTACCTGATTATTCACAGCCATTCATTTAGCCATGGAGGGCCCCGCTGGGCTGAGTTCTTCACTTCAGCAGTACTCAGGGTACTTCCTTGCGACCTTCCACTGAGGATCTCAAAGCACTTTGCAGATGCCAGTGAGTTAAGTCTCACAGTACCCCAGCAAGACAGACAAATCGTTGATTTGTGTCAGGCCAAAAACGCCAGTGAATGGAAGATTTTGGCATAGAGGCTGCTCCCCACTGGCTCTGACCACTGCACCATGCTGCCTTGCTCCAATAAGATCAAATCCATGTCTAAACACAACACCTGGACAAACGCTGCCCTGATAAAACCATGCACTCGGCAAGCCTTGGTTTTCACAAGTAGTGGAGGGGAGGAGGCAGGTTCTGAATAGGAGGACAACTGACCCTGCCTCTCCTCCTCTGCAGACAAGGGAGGCAGAGCTATGCGACCAGTACGAGGCGGTGTGTGAATCCGCCTACAGCGAAGCAGAATCAGCAGCTGTGGAGGTGCTGGATCTGCCTCTGCCCAGCTACTTCCGCTCCCGGAGCCACAGCTACCTCCGAGCCATCCAGGCAGGCTGCTCCCAGGAAGAAGACACAGCCTCCGTCCGATCCATCTCACCACCTCCCGCCAGCAGCATCGGTGGCAGCAGGACGCTCCCCAGCAACAGCAGTAAGTGCTACGAGGTGTGCATGCTGGGGAGGCCTGGGGAAGTAGGGGCCTTGGGGGCGGGAAGCAGACTCGGAAAGAGATGGGAGCTCTGGGCAGCAAGGCCATGAACAGCTAGTGTCTGAAATGTTGACCCTTTTGACAGCACTAAGGGTACTTCTACGCAGCAGGGCCAAAGTCAAATTCAGATACGCACCTTCCACTTTGTCAATTGTGTAGCTGTAGTTGAAATAGCTCAATTTGGCTTCCTTCGACTTCCCTTACTCCTCATGAAAGGAGAGTTACAGGAGTCGGAGTAAGAAGTCCGCCAGCTCACCATGATTTCAAAATAATGACGTGCAGTGTAGACGTGCACTGTGTTACTCTGGAATAATGTCAGATATTCAGAAATAGTGCTGCTATGCAGAAGTACCCTAAGTCAGCTACCTGGGGCTGCATTAAAATGGATACAGAATGGTCGGGTCCAGGGTCAGCTTCTTTAACGCTGCTGGGTGTACTAGATGCAAGCCAGATGTCCTTGTCTGGTGTCCGGACACCTGTTGATTTAGCTGCACCAATGTGGTGGTAACCACCTAACAGAGCCTTTGCCATGACAGTCCGACTTGTACATCAGCTTGGGACTGAACCAGGGCCATAGGGAGCAGCTATCCTGGGCGGACCTGCTGCAGCTCTGCTATGTCTGGGGCTGTCAGGAAATGGCCTGCCATTGACAGAGGTTGTGGAGCCCACTCCTACAGGAGCTGACGTTAGAGATGGGTGTCATCCAGGCTCTCTGCGCTGCTGCTAATTGGGGATGCTTGTATTAGAGCTTCACAGATGACCCCTAGTTTGTGCACCCAAAAGTGGGGTCTGTGTTTTGCCAAGCAAAACTCCAGATCTGCACTCACATTCCTTCTGAATCTTGGCTCTAGACCTGAGCTTAGTGGTTGTGAGAGGGTCCTTCAGTCCCTCACTCCACACTCCTGCCTCATCCCTGCCTGGCAGCAAGGGCACTTTGACAAAGGCTAGACCTGTAGGACTGAAAGTCCCAGGTCCCAAATTCCCTCAAACCTAGGGCTTGGCAAAAAGAGCGAGAGTCTAAGCCCCAGGGCCTCAAATCCTTAGTATATGGACCAAGTAGGGATACACTAGCCAACCCTTCCTATCTTCCTATCTTCCCCTATCTGCCTCCTTCTCTCTCCCATGCCCTGCCTGTCACTCTTGGAGCCTGCAATTTCCCCAAGCAGCTTGGTGCAGCAGGCAGGGCGAAGCCTTGCATAGAGCATCCCCCTGGGATCCAAGAGTGTAGGGTGATTCTGTCCCAGGCGTCAGCTTTCCCCAGGGGCTGAGATTTCAGCCCTCTCATGGCTACGTGGAGCTGAAACAGGCTGCGATTGCATGTGAATACCAGAGGGGTGGAGGTTAGGAGGTCTGGCCCCCATTTCCTTAGTGATAAAGAACAGAGAGGGCATCTGTAATTAGCATAGTGACCCCTGTGGGGTCTCCCCATAGCCCTGAGTGAGCCTCTGTTATCCAATCCTTCTAAGTGTGTTTCCCATGAATGTGGGGCTAGTGAAAGGTGAGACTGACACCCCTGCAGATCAGCCCTGTATTCATCCATCCACAGACAAGGCAGGAGCAGTGAAAGCATCTCTCAAGTGACCCCACCCCACCAATGGGCTCCAGCACTGATCCTGAGGGTTGATCTATTTATGGCAATGCCCTTTGTGGGAATCATGCCCGGGCCGGGTCCATGAAGGTAGACTCCCGGCTGGTGGGAAACCCTGGCGTCATTGACTTTTCCAGTACCGCCCATGCTGGTGTCTGAAAATCGTCCTCTGTGGGCCACAGCACCTGTGGAATAACAGAGCAGCACCCTTTGTGGTGTTCCTGCTCCTTGAGAAGGCAAACAATGGGCACCTGCGTGTCATGGCCCTGACGCAGCCTGGAAACCCCGTTCTCTCAAAACCGGCCAGTGTGGCAGGGATACTGATTATGCCAGTCACCTTGGGGTAGAGCACATGCCTGAGCACCTCAGAAACTGCCGCCGCCATCACTTTACCACAGCTGACTTTCCAGCACCCCACTGGTTAGCAATGCGTCGGTAGCAGGCTGGGGTAATCAGCTTCCAGCGATGTTTATAACAACCCACTTCTGGAGCAGAGACCATAGCAGCCTCGTCACTACTCAGATCAACCAGAGCCGACCCACCCCAGCCTCCCAAGGGAGACATTTTTCCCTTCAGATTTTCTCTTTCTTGTTGACCTAGATTTCACGTTCCAGAAATAGCTTTCTCTGGCACACCCGCACAAAGGGATTAGATATTGTGTGTGTGAGCCAGAGAGAGAGAGAAATTTCTGTTCCATTAGGAACACAGAGATATGTGTGTTCCATGCTGGGTGTGTAGGAGAATGAGCTCTCTGATTATTTCTAGGTATATTTTTCTCTCTCAGGCTTTTTCCCTACTATGGTGAAAACTATGCTAGCAATCACTGTGTCCTTTCCCCAGGAAGTCAACAGCATACACAGTTCCAATGGTGTTTTCTGCCGTCAGCAAAAGAACCTCTACCCACCTGGGTCAGCAGCCCAGCTTGCTATAGCGGTGTCAGCTTCAGGGTGGACAGGATCTGTATTTGGGAATGTTCCCTCCTTGGTGCTCAGTGTATGTGTGGGTGTCTCTACGACCCCAACATCCTGGCTAGTACATGGCCTGGAGCGGGGGGAGGAGTGGAGGGAGGGAATGTGTAGCTTGCACAGAATCCCCTGCAAATGGTAACAAGTTGCAGACAACAGGAAGAGGACACTGCATTGTACCCCCCAGGCACAGACAGTCGCAGGGCAGCTTCCACAGTAGCTGCCCATAGAAGAGGCACATGCATGGAAAAGTGGCTGTGGCCATAGGATCCTGGCCAGCTCTGCATGTTTGCCCCAGCAGCGTGTGCTCTGCAGCCAGGATGGAAATGAAAGCAACTGGCAGCATTTTATGTCAGATGCTCTAGCTATGGGAGCCCAGTGCCCCAGGACAGTGGCAGGGGTCGGAGGCCCAGGCAGTAGATGTAAGATAGCAATGCTTTCTATAGGAGGGATTTAAAAGGCTGGGACTGTTCTGCTTAGAAAAGAGATGTCTCAGGGGGTGAAGATATAGATTTATTAATCCTCCTCCCAGTCTCTTCCTGCCGGCTGCCACCAGGCCATGCTGCCTCCCCACCAGCGCAGTTGTCAGCAGAGATGGATTCTTGGTCTGCTCGTCACTGCTCCCTACTGCCAATCCCCGGCTGGCCTGGTTCCAGCTTGGTATGTCCCAGCTTGCGGCTCTGCCCCTGGAACCATCTCTTAGATGGTGGTGTGAGCGGCCTCCCCTTCCACCTCCTAACAGCAGTGGCCAGTGGGTTGCTTGTGCATGCCCCGTTCTGCACCATCTGGGGTGGCGGGTCTGAGGTGCCGTGTGCACTATTTATGGGCATGTCTGTGGTTTCTGCACTTACCTCATGTAATCCTGCCTCTGCTCTTAGCAAGCGTGTGTCTCCCCCGTCTCTGTGTGTCCCTTTCTGCTCTGGCTGGAGGGATCTTTCTCTCGGATCCCTGGGCCAGATTCTATCTTGTAACCTGGCCTCATTGCACTGCCTTAGAGACACATGGAGCTGGAAAGCAACAGGATCTCCCCAGCGGCTATGGGGCCCGTACTACCAGGTCCTATGCCACCCCCTCCTGCTGGGGTCAGGCGGAAAGGGATCTGACCTCAGTGTAATTGTACCCTGCCTGTTCTCAACAGGGTAGAGGCCCGTAAGGGCCTTGGCCTGCTGGTATTGTGTAAAACAGCCCCACCGCTGCTCTGCTGTATATTGGGGCCAACAGAAAACTGGGCCCAGTATCAGGGAGCCACAACTGGCTTCTTTGCAGCCCTACTCTGACCTGAGCCCAACTTCTATCTCAGTGTCTCTGCCTTGGGGCCTCTCTGCTACGGGCATGTGTTATTATTGGACAGAACCACAACTGACATTTCCACTTACAGCCACATATGCCTACTGTGAAATGCTAAAATTCACAGAGTCTGATCGTATTGGGAGATT